ACCTCAGTCACAATAAAACCTTCCTCCTATTGATTTATACCTTAACTACTGGCCATAAGGAAACCATTTAGCCACAAATGCCATTAGGTTTGCTTGTCAACACATCCATCTTGTGGCCAATGCAAGTTACCAAGTGGATACAGCTACAGGGTAGTGAGTATTTTGCCATAATCTTTCAATCCATACAAAACAGCAAGCTATATGGTACATATGGAATAATCGAAGTCACATGCCTGCATCAATGCACAAAAAGGGAGATGCTATTATCAATTAACATCATCACACTCCTCTAACCAATCCGTGGTTGTATTTGTGGATAGGCACCGGGTATGCCTGAAAAGTCTGTGTACAAATTTTGATGTAAATAGTTTCTATACCATTAAGCATAACCCATCTGCATAACCTTATCTGTATTTGTGCAATATTCCCATGGTTGTGATATAAACATCACTGTGCCTGAGATCAAGCTTGAGACTATAGAGTCAAATGATATGTTATTGACCATATTGAACCAATACACCAGGGTGCAAACCTAGAGGACCTATCACCTGAAGTGTATCCAAGCTAAAGGTAAGGAAATACTGGTAACATGCATCATTTGACCTCTCAAATTAAACAAATATCGCAGAGGGTCGAGGATGAAGTCAAAGCAGTACATGGTGGGGCAGTATTTTTAATATACACGGTGATTACTGAGCATTATGGGAATCTTATTACACCCAATTATGGTCGTTTTAATTATTCAAACTGTTGTAATCTTGTACTTAATTTACCTGACCATCTGGATAAGGAAAAGGCTGGTTAAGCATGTAAAGTCATTTAGCATGCTACAGCTAATCTGTTTCATGCACCATCCTGTATTGCACTTAATGTCATCTATCTGTCATCCATCGTAACAGACACAAAGTTGGAAAACAATAGTATCTATCAAGCAGGGGATATGTTGGGAAGATTTCTCCTAAATGTGTGCTTAATTATGTTAAAAGTTAATGTTTACGTTTGAATTATGTGTTTACTGTAATGATTAGTATAAGCCATGGTGAATGTTGAGAAGGTACACAAGGGGGGCACCAATCACATGACTGCCTCCATGTGACCAGGGGCAGATGACCATTTTGCGGGGCTCAGGGCAGCACAATTTTGCGGGGCCCCCTTTTGCCACGGTGCTTGCGCGGGGCTTCTTGAAGGGCAGGGCCCGGGGTGGCCGTCCCGCTCGCCCTGCCCTATATCCGCCCCTGCATGTGACTCCTGCCCACACCACCCTATCCTAAAGAGGACCTCACCTTTTTCCACTCCTGTTTCACCCCCAATTCAGCCCTTCTGGCACCAGGCCCCTCACTAGTCCCCTGGGCATGGGGGTGGGGGTTAGTACGGGGCCTATTTAGTTGACAAACTGGGCTCTGCCCACCAGCTGTTAGCCCCTTACCCCTAGCCCCCCATGGTTCTGATATAAATGAGTTAATTATGGGACAGAAATCAATGGAGTCCATGATTCAAAACTGAGTCGACTATTTATGATGGTGTTGTGCCATAACAACAATTTGGACTCCATGTTGTTCATTCTTGCTAAAGCTTTCTCACTTTTTCAAACTAGTGGTGGGAAAGGAGTAGTTAATGGGCAGTAAGAACCAATTCCGTCCGCTAGGTTCTTGCCACTGAGCCTCTAAAAAGAGCTGCCTGAGCATTGTGCTGTCCATCTAAGTGGCAGCCAGGTATCGCGTTGATTTGTGTGGGTGTTGAGGATTGCCTCAGCGACTGCAGACCCACTTCATCGGCTAAGAAGACATCACTTACCATCACTCACAAACTGCAAACCTATATCCTGCTTCCAGCGACATCTGTGTCTTCAATCCTGGTTCCAGTAGATCATTGCTGACAGGGCTGACTTTAGGAAGTGCGGAGCCCAATTCGAACAATTTCGAGGGGGCCCCACAGCAATTTTGGTTGAGAAAAAAAAAACAACACAAAAAAATCCCCAGCCAACACACACACCCCCTGCGCTAAACTCACACCACCTGTGGCACAGGCAGCCGATGCACTCCTCCTCCGGGGAGGAAAAAGTGTATAATTTTTGGTGGTGCCCCATTAGCCACACCCTCTGACCCCCATTAACCACCGCCCTAACCCCCATTAGCCACACCTCTGGGGGCAACATGCTCGGGGCAAGATGGACACATGACCAGAAGTAAAAGGTGTCATGTCACTCCTGTGGAAAAACTTTTCCCACCATCTTCCTACCAACAGGGATTAGTTTGGCCCCCCACCAAACCTCCCTCATGCAACTATCCTGTAGTTGCATTAACCCACAGTGTGTGACATTAACTCGGGGGCAGAGAGATTGGGGGAAGTGTTCCCTCTAAGGCTATGTCTACACTCGCGGCTTCTTACGCAGGTACAGCTGTTCTTGCACAAGAATCCACAGAGCAGCCACACTTGTAGGAGGAATAACGAATTAGGAGCTTTAATTCAAACTACCTAGTCCGTGCCGCGTGTAGCCGCAGGCAGGGAGTTCGAACTACGGGGCATTTAAAAATGGTGGCGCCTGGGAACATGCAAATAAAGCCCGGGATATTTAAACCCCGGCCTTCATTTGCAAGTTCGAATGCCTACATTAGCCACTCTCGTTGGAACTAGGGTGGCAGTGTAGACATACCCTAAAAGAGTGTTATAAGGAGGAGGAAGAAAAATTGTTCTCCGTGGCCTCTGAAGTTAGGATGAGAAGCAATGGAGGTTTAAATTGCAGCAAGGGAGGTTTAGGTTGGACATTAGGAAAAACTTCCTGCCTGTCAGGGTGGTTAAACACTGGAATATATTGCCTAGGGAGATTGCGGAATCTCCATCACTGGAGATATTTCAGACCAGGTTAGACAGACACCTGTCAGGGATGAGCTAGGGCAACTCAACTTTGGAAGCCCCAGGGACCACACTGATACTTACAGAACATGCTGAGGGCCTCAACTTAAGTGTGGTTGCATATGCAAGCAAATATATACAAATACAGGGTTCAAAAAAGAGCTAGATTGCCATTGATAGACTTAACCTCCATTAATTTATTAGCCAGGATGGGTAGGAATGGTATCCCTAGCCTCTGTTTCTATGGAAGTGGGTGACAAGGGAGGGATCACGTGAGGATTACCTGTTATGTTCCCTCCCTCTGGGGCATCTGGTGTTGTCCACTGTTGGCAGACAGAATACTGGGCTGGATAGACCATTGGTCTGACCCAGTATGGTCGTTCTTACGTTTTTAAGTAAAAGCATACAAATATGCAAAACTTTAAGATGTTAAATCTGAGTCAACTAGAAATAGTCATGTTTGCCTTGCAAATATTAATACAATATTTACTGACACTAGAAAGGAGAGTAAAAGGCATTTACTCAAGCTTATATACTTTCTCTGGGGAATGTTTAGGATCCATGCTATGCAAGTAAAACAGAGACCTGTAAAAACAGATAAAAGTTCTGGTTTGAAACTTCCACCTTATACTTATCACTAATTCAAAAAGTAGAAGCCCCAGAACACTTGTCCAGAATCCAACTCCAATTGAAAGGCCAAACAAATTAAACAGGATCCATAGTAAAGTTCTTCAAGTTTTAATAATTGAATATGTATTTATTAACTAGTAATATAGGATTTTAAAAAAATCATTAAGATCAGAGTTTGCCATTATCTACAACACTTAAAAAAGTGTTAAAATAATCTTTTTTTACCTTAAGTCATTAACACCTATATAAACATTGTTTGAAATGTAATTATACACATATCAAGAGCTAGTCCTTTTGCTCCAGTATTCAAAAGCAGCCTAAAAGCTTTTAACCCACCTGAAATGGTGATACCTCCTCCCTCCATACAGCCTGCACCAGCCCAGGAGAGAGTCCTATGTCTGCAGCCTACATAGAGCTGCTGTGCTGAGACAAACAGGGTTTGACAATTGCTGCCTGCAGCTCATATGGAAGTAAATTAAGACACCCCAAACAAACTCCCCTAGGTCCCTACCTCACTTCACAGACACCAGCACCCACCTACCCCCATGCAATCCCTTCAGAATCCTGCCTCAGAGTTGCAGGCTTTGCAGCTGCAGACTTGCTGGGAGTCAGAGGACAGGAAAATATACCACAAACTCAGTCTCCACCTCCCCTCTCCCACTGCACAAGCCCTTTCCCATCCCCCGCTGCACAAGCCCCTTCCCTACCTTCTGCCTTCCACTTTGCGGGGCCGGAGTCTGCACTCAGGCCCCAGAGTCCGAACCCAGAGCCAGTCACGCCCCGCAACGTGGCTCCAAAGAGTTTTAAAATCCCGGGCCGTGACATCACTTCACGCCTGGGGGTCTCCCTGCCCATCTCAATGCTGTGCATGGCAGCAGCAGCCAGCGAGGGGGAGCTGTGCTGAGAGCCGCGCACAGCAAGGACGGTCCGGGGTCAAGGAGGAGGCTCTGGGGGTCAGGGTGGGAGGATGTGCGGGGGGGGCCAGAGCCCACTCCAGGCAGAGCCGGAGGAGAGACCCAGCTCCACGTATTGATGGAGCAGGGCCCCCGGCTCTGAATAGTAACTCGTGCCCATGGCCTGGCACACTTCCGAGTTCAGGGTATGGGGCCCCCTTAGGCGTGGGGCCCGATTCGGCCAAATCGGTTGAATCAGACCTATGGCTGGCCCTGATTGCTGACAGTCCTGTGTTCCTCCTCTTGTACCCAAATCAGGCTGCAAAGCTTGGTTTGAGGTCCAGAATCCCATGATCTCAAGCTACAACATCATACATCACCATCAGCTGCTTTGTTTTACCTAAGTTGTCTCCTTTGACTATGTACACTATTGGTATAGTCTGTGTTTTTCTTTTGTTTACTTTAAATATAGCCATGGTTAAGGGTTGCCTGAGTCACTGAGCTTTATGTCCAATTGGGGGCAGTCACACTTGCATGACAGCAGATTGGTATGGCAGCATATCTGGGTGTGACAATGTGTCAGTGTGACGCTGTGACGCAGAGGTGTGCTGATGTGACAACGGGTTGGTACAACGCCGTGATGCAGAGGCCTGCTGGTGCGACAGCAGGGTGGCCTGGCAGCATATCCGGGTGTGACGACGTGTCAGTGGGATGCCGTGATGCAGAGATGCGCTGGTGCGACAGTAGGGCGGCCTGGCAGCATATCCGGGTGTGACGATGTGTCAGTGGGATGCAGAGATGCGCTGGTGCGACAGTAGGGCGGCCTGGCAGCATATCCGGGTGTGACGATGTGTCAGTGGGATGCAGAGATGCGCTGGTGCGACAGTAGGGCGGCCTGGCAGCATATCCGGGTGTGACGATGTGTCAGTGGGATGCAGAGATGCGCTGGTGCGACAGTAGGGCGGCCTGGCAGCATATCCGGGTGTGACGATGTGTCAGTGGGATGCAGAGATGCGCTGGTGCGACAGTAGGGCGGCCTGGCAGCATATCCGGGTGTGACGATGTGTCAGTGGGATGCAGAGATGCGCTGGTGCGACAGTAGGGCGGCCTGGCAGCATATCCGGGTGTGACGATGTGTCAGTGGGATGCAGAGATGCGCTGGTGCGACAGTAGGGCGGCCTGGCAGCATATCCGGGTGTGACGATGTGTCAGTGGGATGCAGAGATGCGCTGGTGCGACAGTAGGGCGGCCTGGCAGCATATCCGGGTGTGACGATGTGTCAGTGGGATGCAGAGATGCGCTGGTGCGACAGTAGGGCGGCCTGGCAGCATATCCGGGTGTGACGATGTGTCAGTGGGATGCAGAGATGCGCTGGTGCGACAGTAGGGCGGCCTGGCAGCATATCCGGGTGTGACGATGTGTCAGTGGGATGCAGAGATGCGCTGGTGCGACAGTAGGGCGGCCTGGCAGCATATCCGGGTGTGACGATGTGTCAGTGGGATGCAGAGATGCGCTGGTGCGACAGTAGGGCGGCCTGGCAGCATATCCGGGTGTGACGATGTGTCAGTGGGATGCAGAGATGCGCTGGTGCGACAGTAGGGCGGCCTGGCAGCATATCCGGGTGTGACGATGTGTCAGTGGGATGCAGAGATGCGCTGGTGCGACAGTAGGGCGGCCTGGCAGCATATCCGGGTGTGACGATGTGTCAGTGGGATGCAGAGATGCGCTGGTGCGACAGTAGGGCGGCCTGGCAGCATATCCGGGTGTGACGATGTGTCAGTGGGATGCAGAGATGCGCTGGTGCGACAGTAGGGCGGCCTGGCAGCATATCCGGGTGTGACGATGTGTCAGTGGGATGCAGAGATGCGCTGGTGCGACAGTAGGGCGGCCTGGCAGCATATCCGGGTGTGACGATGTGTCAGTGGGATGCAGAGATGCGCTGGTGCGACAGTAGGGCGGCCTGGCAGCATATCCGGGTGTGACGATGTGTCAGTGGGATGCAGAGATGCGCTGGTGCGACAGTAGGGTGGCCTGGCAGCATATCTGGGTCTGACAAACGTCTCCGAGTGACGCCGTGTCACAACACAGCAGCCACTATAAGGCACAGCAGTTGGTGCAGTAGCAAATGGGGCCCAGCACTAGGGCTTTGTGTTCCCTCTGCCAAAGGGAGCCGCGTGCTGTCCGGAGGTGGTTGTGCGGGTTGCCAGCCGCCTCACAGGGCTGGCGCAGCGCCATGCGCGCTGGTGGAGAGCAGGCGCTACTCACAGCCCGGCTTGGGCCCGGCTGCCTGCGGATCAGTTGCCATGGGAACCGCAGAGGGCGGCAGAGAGCAGCTGCCCCGGGCGTTACACGCCGAGCTTTATTTCTCTGGCGGAGAGGGAGGCGACGCATGGCTGGGTGGCGCAAGCATGGCTCACGCTAACCCCGTGGTAAGGGCGAGGACCAGGGTGGTTTCCCGCCGGGGTAGCGGGGAGCGAGCAGGAGAAAGGGGCCGCTTGCCCCAGGGCGGCCCGCAGTGTAATGCCGGGGCTCGGGGGCTTTCCCCTCGGTCCTGGCCCGAGAGGACCCCACTCACAGCGCGCGGTGCCACGTGGCGCAGAGTCGAAAGTGGGACACGCTCCGCGTTTGGCTTGTGCCGGGCAGGCCGGGGAGGGGCTGCTGCAAGCTCCTGCCCTGCAGCAGCCGGGTGGGAAGGGAGCGGTGCACGCGTGGACACCGCACTCGTTGGCGACGTGAATGATCAAGAATGGACCACCGGCTCCAGCGTCTCCCCCCTTGTGCTAGCTTAAAGACCTTCGTGTATTCACAAAACACTCGCGCCACTGCTTTGAGCAGTCGAGCCCCTCATGCGTCAGGGGTTGTCATGTCGTGAGCGCCTCAGTTTGTTCTTGTTGCTGAAATTTAGAAATGAACTATTAAAACAAAATCTGGAGGCTAGAGTTTAGGTTGAAAGCCTTGGACGCTTTCTTTATTAACCAAAAGAACTGTCTTATGTGTGAGGGAGTAAAAACATTATGGTGTTGAGAGTAGTTTTTGAGTAAATATGATCTAGTTTGGATAACTATTTCTGAAGCTTTCCTGAAATGAGTTAGCTGGTGCTAAGGAGAAATCTGAATCCTCCACTCAAATGTATTTTTCTTAGGCCCTGTTTTTGAGCTTCCTTTTTGAGCACCAGAAGTCTCCTTGAGCATCTGGAAAGTTTCTAGCATAGTAGGTGCTATCTGAAATAAGTGAGAACTTTTGCCTGGCTTTAAGATGTGAGTACATTGAAGTAATGGAGATTCAAAGTTTGTAGGATTGGAGCCTTGATCGTTTTCACCGTCTCTTTTATTTATTTATTTTTGTCTATCTTCACATTTTTTACATTCATCACTCCCCCAAAACTGCATCCTTGTTGTTGTTTGTTAGATCAGTTTTCAGCTTCCCTATTGAACATCATGTTGTGACCATTATGTGTGTGAAATAAGAATAGAGCTGCCTATATACATGCTCTATGATGATTTTGATAATCTTTTTAAGTATTTAGTGTAGGAATTGTGAGGTTGCAGTTCAAGATCTGTATAACATATCAGATTAGGACTTAATTTTTTTGTAAGACTTCATATTATAAAATATAACTTGGTCAGTTGCCTTTGAAAGCGAAGGTGTTTTATAATAATTTGACCTCAAGATATCTACTGTATTGGCAGAGGAAGTCAAACATTTGATATGTGGGCCATTGAGGTTCTTAGCTATACTTTTGTTGAGCTGATTTTACTTTACTTTTTTACAGTTGATAAGTTGAAATGTGCTTTGGAATGTTTCCAGAATCTTTAATGTCACCTGCCTCTGTTGTCCCTCTCTCCCTCCCACCTGGCAATGCATGCATAGTAAAAGCTAATCTGTTAATATGACTGTAGGGTCATGCCCTATAGAGAGAAACTACTGGCTTGATCAGAGGGCCAAAAATCTTCTCCAAGTTGGATTTTGGTGCCTTAAATTGATCAAGTCTATTGACTTCAGTGTAATCTGAAAATTTCTTATTTTTATTGCAACTTTTGAAAATGTCACATAGTTTTCTTCTAATTTTGAAGTATGTATTGATAATGACTGTTGTTATAACATGAAATAGCAGCACAATAGCTACTACAATCATAACCATGAAACAGTAACCCCCACTCTCTATTTTTCAGTTCACAACTGAAACCAACCAAACTGGAAAGTGTTTTTTTTTAAATGTTCTTCTGTATATTGTTAGTTTCTTCCTAGAGTTTCTTCATGCAGCTTTTAGCCAGTGCTACAAATGCCAGCCTGGGACAGAATGTGTTAGTTTGAGACTATGCTGGAATTTGAGGGCCCTTATGGGGGTTGATCTAAAAGTAACTATAAACAAAACAAAAAACAGTAAAATTCCTAATTAGGTCCAAATCCTAATTTTTCCTTTGATATTTTATTGTTAGTTTTTAATTCTAGAGTGCCATAAATTAATTTACACAGATTTGTAGAAGACGACTGTTCTGGCTATGTAGTTATCCCAGCAGTTGTGTTGTCCAGTATCTTCAGCAACAAATCACACTGTCCTCTGGATCTGTTCATTTTATAATATGCACGAAGCTAATTTACAAATCCTGCCTCTAATTAGAGTGTGTGTACTTCATTTGGAGCTATAGCAAATTTTTTCCTGTGTTTTATATTCTTTAAATTGTGTTTTATTCAGCCTAAACTTTACAGATCAATTATTGAAGATGTGATTGAAGGTGTCAGGGAGCTCTTTGCAGAAGAAGGTGTGGAGGAACAGGTCTTGAAAGACTTGAAGCAGGTTTGTTGGGTAATGACAACCATTTTTTTTGGAGGGAGGGTTGGAAGGCGGGAATATGTTGTCTTTTGCTTTTCTTTACCAAATGGATATCAAAATGTTCCATAGAATCTCTATGTGTAGTAATTCCACACTCTAATAAGAATATAGCACTAGGGATATATTATTGATCAGCTGACATTCTAAATATAGATGAACATAATTTGTTTGGCGGGAGGGGGAGAGAGTCAACATGGTTTCTGTAAAGAGAAATCATGCCTTACTAAACTGCTAGAGTTCTTTGTGGGGGGTCAACAAACATGTGGACAAGAGGGGGGGGGGGAAGGAGGGGCGGGGGAAGGGTTGTCAACAAACTTGTGGTTAAGAGGGATCCAGTAGATATAGTGTATATAAATTTCCAGAAAGCCTTTGACAAGGTTCCTCACCAAAGGCTCTTAAGTAAAGTAAGTTGTCATGGGTAAGAGGGAATGTCCTCTCATGGATCGATAACTGGCTAAAAGACAGGAAACAAAGGATAGTTTTCAGAATGGAGAGAGGTAAACTAGTGGTGTCGCCCTAAGGGTCTGTCCTGGGACCAATCCTTTTCATCTTATTTATAAATGATCTGGAGAAAGGGATAAACAGTGAGGTGGTAAAATTTGCAGATGATACCAAACTGCTCAAGATATTTAAGATCAAAGCAGACTGAAGAGCTTCCAAAAGATCTCACCAAACTAAGTGATTGGGCAACAAAATGGCAAATTAAATTTAATGTTTCTAAATGTTCAGTAATGTATATGGGGGAGGGGGACATAATCCCAACTACACATACAATCTGATGGGGACTAATTTAGCTATAATTACTCAAGAGAAAGATCTTGGAGTCATTGTGGATAGTTCTCTGAAAACATCCACTCAGTGTGCAGCAGCGGTCAAAAAAGCAAGCAGAATGTTAGGAATAATTTAAAAAGGAATAGCGAACAAGACAGAGAACATCTTATGCCCTCTATATAAAACCATGGTACACCCACATCTTGAATTCTTCGTACAATATATCTCAAAAAAGATATATTGGCATTGAAAAAGGTTGAGAAAAGGGCAACAAAAATGATTATGGGGTTGGAACGGGTCCCATATGAAGAGAGATTAAAAAGACTTTGACTTTTCAGCTTAGAAAAGGGGATATGATCAAGGTCTATAAAATCATGACTGGGGTGGAAAAAGTGAATAAGGAAAAGTTGCTTACTTGTTTCTATAACATAAGAACTAGGGGTTACCAAATAAAATTCAAAGGTAGCAGGTTTAAAACAAACACAAGGAAGTTTTTCTTCACACATTGCACAGTCAGCCTGTGGAACTCCTTGCCAGAGGAAGTTGTGAAGAGCAGGACTTAACAGGGTTCAAGAAAGAACTAGATAAATTCATGGAGGTTAGGTCCATCAATGGCTCTTATCAGGATGGGTAGAAATGGTGTCCCTAGCCTCCATCAGAGGCTGAGAATGGGAGAGGGATTGCTTGAAGATTCCCTGTTCTACTCACTCCCTCTGGGGCATCTGGTATTGGCCACTGTTGGAAGACAGGATACTGGGCTAGATGGACTTTTGGTCTGACCCACTATGGCTGTGCTTATGTTCTTATGTATTTTTCTAAGGCCCCATGTGATAAAGTACCTTCCATCAAATTGGAGATGCACGTATCTTGAGAAACTAGAATTGGACTCAGGAGGGTTCAGATCTTGTAACTATTCTTAACATAATGCTGTTAAATGGTTTCTTAGATTGTTTAGTTCTCAGGATTATCCTGATAGTTAAAGTACCTGAAAAGCTTAAATATATTAATAAATGAAAACATTTTTGGCAACTTGATTGTGTCTTATTAACACTTTTTGCAGGTTTGGGAAGCTAAGGTGACTCAGTCTAAAGCAACAGAAGGATTCTTTAAACATAGCCACCATTCCCCCCAGTTTACCTTGCAGTTGCCACACAACTTACATCGTGCTTTGCAGACATCGACAGGTTAGATATCTGTTGACCTCTCTCAAACATTGCAATTTAACAGTAATTCAGTGTTTCTGTACCCTCTTAATTTGAATTGTGTGTTGTAGGCCAAATTCTGCTCTCTTTGTGTAGATCTAGAGTGACAAAGAGACACTGTGAAACTGAAAGCGGAATTTGGCCCACTCAAGGATAAATTCTGTTCTGATACACTAGTGGATTTTCAGATTTTTGAGTTTAATAGAGCTACTTCAGATTTGCACAGATATACATGAGATGAGAATTGTAGCTCTCTGCCCTGTAGGCCAGAAGTGTTAATTTTAAACTTTGGTGTGTTTTTATGAGAAATGTGGTCTAATTTGGTTTTTAATTTTTGATTGATTCTTTCTGTGTTAAAATTCATACTAAAAAGAAGTATCCTAATGTAGACACCCCAGGTTGAATGGGCAGCTTTGCTTACAGCATTTTCTATTTGTTGAGTGCCTGACTGTGTAACATTAATGTTCTGTTAATGTTGTAATAGTGTTTTTGAACATGATAATAAATACATAGGGATATAGTACTTTGGGGCGTTGAGTCTAATTCCCAGTGAGTTGCAGGCAACCTCGTCATATCCCATTTATAAATGTATCAGTTAATATATCCAAAGTACAGATGGCACAAGGAGATCAACTTCTAGATTCACCCACTATTGGGAAACATTACCTTCTAACTTTTCCAGTAGATATAGGAAATACCTATGGTAGAACTGGCTCCATTAAAGGTAACACAATTGTAAGGGTATGTCTAAACTACATGGCTCCGTCAACGGAGCCATGTAGATTTGTTTGTTCGGCAAAGGGAAATGAAGCTGCGATTTAAATAATCGTGGCTTCATTTAAATTTAAATGGCTGCTGCGCTGAGCCTACAAACAGCTGATCAGCTGTTTGTCGGCTCAGCATGCTAGTCTGGATGCTCCCCTGCCGACATGAAAGCCCTTTATTGACCTCCCCGGTAAACCTCATCCTACGCGGCATAATGGGGAGGTCGATAAAGGGCTTTCAGGTCAGCGCGGGAGCGTCCAGACTAGCGTGCTGAGCCGACAAACAGCTGATCAGCCTAATCTACATGGCTCCGTCGACAGAGCCATGTAGTTTAGACACACCCACAGAGGCCAGGGACACCATTTCTATCCCCCGGCTAATAGCCTTTTATGGACCTAACCTCCGTGAAATTATCTAGCTTCTCT